TATGCTGTGTCCAGGCTGGTTCATCAGGTGCTCTGCTATGGCTGACTTCTCTGGTTGAAGTAGTCTGCAGTGCCTTTCATGTTCCTTGATTCATGTTTGGGCAATGCTGCGTTTGGTGGTCTCTATGTAGACTTGTCCACAGCTGCATGGTACACAGTAGACTCCTGCAGAAGTGAGAGGATCCCTCTTGTCCTTTGCTGAACGTAGCATTTGTTGGATTTTCTTGGTGGGTCTGTAGATAGTTTGTATGTTATATTTCCTTTGCGGTCAGTGGTTCCCTTGATGTATGGCAAGAACACTTTTCCTCTGGGTGGATCTTTGTCTTTACTCTCGTGGCTTGTTCTCGGTCTTGCAGCTCTTCTGATGTCTGAGGTGGAGTATCCATTGGCCTGGAGAGCCCCGTTGAGGTGGTTCAGTTCATCTTGGAGGAGGTGGGGTTCGCAGATTCTTTTTGCACGGTCTGCCAAGGCTTTAATGGTGCTTCTTTTTTGACTTGGGTGATGGTTGGAGTAGGACATCTAGAAAAGGCAGTCTTCCTTCATTTTCTTTTTCCATGGTGAATTGGATGTTTGGGTGGATGCTGTTAAGATGGTCCAGGAACCTGTTGAGTTCTTCTTCTCCATGGTTCCAAATGGTGAAAGTGTCATCCACATATCTGAACCATATAGTGGGCTTTTTTGTTGCTGTTTCCAGGGCTTGTTTTTCAAAGTGTTCCATGTAGAAATTAGCTATGACCGGGCTGAGAGGGCTCCCCATAGCTACTCCATCTTTCTGTATCTCGTGATGTTGTGAAATGGTTTGATGTTTGTTTGTCAGAGAGAACGTAATGCTGCGAGATCCTTTTTTTCTAGTTTAAAAAATAGTAATACAGCATTTGCATTTATTTATATGTTTTGTTTCACCACAGAAACAGAATTTGCATTTTCATTTCGTGGCTAGATAATCATAGTTGAATACTATTTAATCTACTATTTAATTATGTAGTACTTGGACAACTTTCAGTGGAATTATTGAAGTGTCTTTGTTGGAAAGTATGATTGCATTGATGGCTATGTTCTAGAAGCATTCTCTCCTGATGTTCACCTACATTTATGGCAGGCATCCTCAGAGGTTGTGAGGTTATGAATAGACATCTTGTAGAAGAAGGAGCAAGCTGCTAAAGAAACTAGAACTCAAACTAATGGATTCAAATTACATAAAAACAGTTTCTGCAATAACTATGTTGAGAGATGGCTTGTTGGAGGTTTTTTTGGGCTGTATGGCCATGTTCTAGGAGCAATACAACTGTTGAGAGAAATACAACAGTGGAATGTGGTGGACTCTCCAAAGGAGGTGGTGAACTCTCCAAGGTATTTAAGCAGAGATGGGATGGGTTGTTGTAGGTTTCTTCAGGCTGTATGGCCATGTTCTAGAGGCATTCTCTCCTGACGTTTCACCTGCACCTATGGCAAGCATCCTCAGAGGTTGGGAGGCCATGTTCTAGAGGCATTCTCTCCTGATGTTTCGCCTGCGCCTATGGCAAGCATCCTCAGAGGTTGTGAGGTCTTACAACCTCTGAGGATGCTTGCCATAGATGCAGGCAAAACATCAGGAGGGAATGCCTCTAGAACATGGCGATATAGCCCGAAAAAACCTACAACAACCCAGTGATTCCAACCATGAAAGCCTTCAACAATACAGAGATGGGATGGGTGTCCTTTATGAGTGCTTTACATGTATATTCCTGCATCAGGGAGAATTAAACAAATTGGCCATTGTGATGTCTACCAACTTTTGAATGGTCTAGGATTCCTTGAATCAATATATAGATATATGTTTTAGAACATATATCAATCCATGGAAATGTCAACACGTTCTTCAGATGTTGCCACTCCTCATAAAAGGCAGATTAGATTTGAATATAAGGTTAGGAAGGAGATGAGATCCTAAACTTCATATTTATGTTCTTGAAGAGTGTCGAAGTTGCACTGATGAGAAGCAATAAAGATCTCGGCAAGGCTTTACAAGGTCCTCCACCTTTCTCTACCGTGGGGTATTTCTCTTTCATTGTGCATTTGATGAGAATCATAAACAGAAATTAGCTTGATGGTTTCAGTCTTTGATGATTTAGAACTTAGATTATTTAAAACGTTCTAGCCTAAGGAATCATACCGTGTAAATTATAACCCTAATATCTTACATGCCGAGTAAATTATAACCCTAATATCTTAAGAGCACCAAACCTGCATAGACTGCTAAATAAACCCCAGTAATTACTTCAGGGGTTTTTCTTGTTCAGGGCTGTAATTTTTTCTAGTTTACACTTTTCTCAGGTTGCTGACCACAGTGACAGTTTTGCTAGTCTTGTATAAAATAGCGAACGCATGTGCGCACCTGGCCCTTCATTATTGTTACTCTGCATTTCATAAGGAGAGGGGAAGGTCTGAAGCTCACTTGGAGTTTCTGCTGATAACAACACTTAGCAAGGTTTTATATGCCTTGAAAGAAAATAGATGACATTGTGCATTAACGTAAGGTTTCTAAGGACCTGTGTAAAAGAGTTGTAACGATCGTTTGATCATTTCAGTGCTTCCAAGATGGCAACACAGGGTCGAGTGAACTTAAATGCCTTTATCAGTTAGGAAAACCCAAAACATTATTAGTATCCTTCTGACCCAAAAGGGAAAATTATGAAATTGCATGTGGCTACTGTATGCGGCAATTAAAAATATTATTATTATTATTATTATTATTATTATTATTATTATTATTATTATTATTTGATACACAACAAGATTAGGTAAAGGTTTTCCCCTGACATTAAGTCTAGTTGTGTCCGACTCTGGGGTGTGGTGCTCACCTCAATTTCTAAGCCGAAGAGCCGGCGTTGTCCGTAGACACCTCCAAGGTCATGTGGCCTGCATGACTGCATGGAGCGCCGTTGCCTTCCCGCCTATTGATCTACTCACATTTGCATGTTTTCGAACTGCTAGGTTGGCAGAAGCTGGGGCTGACAGCAGAAGCTTACGCCTCTCCCCAGATTCAAACCTGTGACCTTTAGGTCAACAAGTTTAGCAATTCAGTGGTTTAACCCACTGCGCCATCAGGGGCTCCAACAAGATTAGCGCACAGCAAACAAGATCACTATGCTGGCTTTGTTATTCAATCACACGTCGGGCACTTCCCAAGTGTCTAGGACTGTGTGATGTATTTGCAAATAATGCGTCGGGTGGTCTTTCGCAGCTCACACATGATAATTTTGTCAGTGCTGATTGTTTTTAAGTGCAGACCAAGGTCTTTAGGCACTGCACCCAGTGTGCCGATCACCACTGGGATCACGTTTACTGGTTTGTGCCAGAGTCTTTGCAGTTTGATCTTTAAATCCTCATATCATGTCAACTTTTCCAGTTGTTTCTCTTCAATCCTGCTGTCACCTGGGATTGCAACATC